CAAAGAGGACCCCGCCAACCGGCACCCCCCCCCCGGCGCGATTTTTTGCGGACCTGCCTGCCACGCCCCTCCCGAACCGTCATGCGGCGCGCTGTGATTTCTCGTCGCCGTCCCATGTCGCCGTCCCACGGGCACGTCTCCATGACCCCGCGGTACCACACGCGGGCCTCCCTGCCCGCGCCAGGCTCCACAGTTTCTGCTGGGCCCGGCGCCGGGCGTTACGCTGGGCCCTTTCTGTGCTTTAAGAGTATAGGGATAGAGATAAACATTTATTTGTTATCTGTTAAAGGTACGCACCTTACCGTCGGACCACCTCCTTCTCATCGTCTCCTTGAACTGATCTCTTTCCCAAAAGCCGATCCCCAAGCGGGGAGGGTAACGTCTACCAAATTCCCATCCTTTTTTTCTACTCTCTTAGACCACACAATCACCCAACTATCAAGCCCCTCTCTCCCACCCTCTCCAGCGCCCCTCCTCGAACTGATCTCTTTCCCAAAATCCGACCCCCAAACGGGGAGGCTAACCTCTGCCTTTTTTTTTTTCTTTTTTTTCCCTATTTTCTTAGATCACACAATCACCCACCTAACAAGCCCCTCTCTCCCACCCTTTCAGTGCCCACTCCCCCAAACCACAGTGTTCGCCAACCGGTTGACAAACTAACTACCAAGTGCCTCCTATTCCTATGTAAGGAAACTACAAGACTTGAAACGTACCGACTTCATCTCCCTGCCAATAGACTCACGTCTTACGCCCCAACGCCCTCAAGGCTAGCCCCCAAGAGGGAAGAACAAGCGCAAATCAACTTTTCCACATTACACAGTTCTACATCCAAGACACCTCTCAGTCACAAATTACGATGTCGCACTCTCACGCCACAACTCCAGCACCAGCCACAACCTCTGGACCAAACTCAACTGCTGGTTCTCCCCCAGGCTCAACATCAGGTCCAGCCTCAGGCTCAGCCTCAGGAACAGTCTCGGGCACAACCACAGGACACACCTCAACTGCGGACTCAAGAAGAATGCGCTTCCAAAACGAGCAAGACCCAAGTTAGGAAGTGCTCAATTTGATGGTGAAAGAGACAAGAATCAAACCAGTAATTTC